CAGCTGGAAAGCAGTAGTCTCCAGGTACATTGTTGCGGGTCTAAGCTTCTTCCAATTGCTTTCCATGACAAATCGTATCTTGGACTCACAAATGACTCCTCTGCTATTAAAAGAGAAGCCATTGTAGAATTGTGAGCCATTCCCTAGGACAATTAAATTCTGGATTCTGATGCAGAGTATTGGCTATTTAAGAATAATTTTAAAAATATATTTAATAATGAATGAAACTATATGTGATCGCATTGGCAGGTAGATTTTTAAAGTTAATTTTAACAGAAAGTGAATTTTAGACTTCAAATCCACAGATTAAAAGCACACCTTTGTAAAAAATTTATGGTACTCTATAGAATTTGTAAATACTTAAAAGAACTTTAAAAATGTACAATTTCCATTTTTAAATTTCTGAACTTAAATGCACATATAGAGTCACATGTATTTCTGCTGTTGCGACAACAATTACCTAACCATTTTGTTTCATGAAGCAAAGTTTAAGGAAGTTCAGGGACACTTTCTAAATGTTCTTCTGACTTTGTGGCCGCTAATACTTTCTTAAAATTCTGACTTTAAGCTTAACTCAAAGATTGTGAATTCAAGTAAGAGATGAATTATTAGTTTTAAATGAAAAAAGTAATAGTGAGAGATGTTTTCTAAAATAGATTCAGTTCAATAAATATTTGTTGAAAAGCATCTTTCTGCATAGTATTCATCTGGGTGCTTCAATAATTTCCATAGAAGTTTTTTATATATACATCATTGTCACCACAAAAAGACAGAATGGAAGCAACCCTCAACATTTCTTTGTGGGGTGTTTGTGTTTATGATGTATTTCCTTAACCAATCCCAGGTGTTAACTTAGGTATTGTAAGTCTATTTAAGTCAGATATGATAAGTCTAGGATGGAATGCCTTTCCAGGATGTTAGTGATGGTGGTGGTAAAGGCAAGAAAGAGACCATTTTCATATGCCAAACTGGTTTATTCTTGTTTTTCATCGACTGCCTAATTAAGGAGGGTTATATAGTCATAAGATAACCTTAAAGTACCATGTATTTGGGATATAGGAGAAAGAAGGTAAGAATAGGAAGAAGTGGAGAAGGAAAGACAGGAAAACATTTGTCCAAGTTATGATTTTGCAAAGGGATCTGGGCACTGCAAATTTGTGTTAGTATTAAAAATCACTACACAGATTTGCAGTGACCTAGGCTTTATGCCAGATGCTAGGGATATAAAGGTGAATAAAACAGCTCCTGCTTGTAAGAAACTCACAGTTCAAAGGAGCCAGGCAGTTATAATGAAGATGGTAAGTGTTGCAGTATTTGAAGTTCAGGTTTAATTTAAAAGTGGTTTCAAACTTTGGTGTCCCTGGATCAGTCTCGTCTTCCCAAATCTTGGTACATCTGATATAACATTTCTGGTTTATCTTAGTATCCCTGTTCGTTTTTCAGTTCACTCCTCCTGGAAGAGAACAAGTTGATAAGAAAAAAGAAATGTGTCCGCCTCTAAACCATTTTCAATTTTGCCACTTCTTTTTTTTTTTTTTTTTTTTTTTTAGTTGGAGTCTCACTCTGTCGCCCAGACTGGAGTGCAGTGGCCGCTCCCGGCCACCGCAGTCTCGACCTGCTGGGCTCCGGCAATCCTTCCACCTCAGCCTTCCAAGTAGTCGGAATTACAGGCATGCGCTACCATGCCCGGCTGATTTTTTGATTTATTGTAGAGATGAGGTCTCACTGCCCAGGCGGGTCTTGAACCCGCGGGCTCAGGCAATCCACTCACCTCAGCCTCCCAAAGGCGCGGGATTACAGGCTGAGCCACTGAGCCTGGCTTGCCACTTCTTAATTTGCTTTTTAATACCATGACTGTGCCTGAATTTGTTCATTTGTGAGAGCATCCTTTGTGAGTTCTGTGTGGTTAATGTAGCATCAGTGTTGTGTAGACAGTATAGGCCATGGAAGGGAGTGGGAAGGTCAGGGCTGAGGCGTTGGTGGAGGTGGGACCTGAGCACTGTTCCTCAGGAGAAAGGTAGAATTTGGCAAGGCAGAAGAGAGTGGAGCAGGAGTGGGAGAGAGACTGTGCATACGTATGATATGTCTGGCAGCATCCATCAGCGTGGAGTTAAGAGTCTAGCTAGAGTGTTCCTCTATTCTAAAACCCGAGTCTAAAAATCCACTGTGATCTCTATCAGTCTATAGGAAATTAAGACTTCCCATTTACAATAATACATAGATTTTAAATGAAGAAATAAATGGAAACTGACTATTTGGGTTTGCTAGAGGTAGAAAGAAAGCTACAATAGCAAAAGCAGATCTCAAATGTTAATCACCTGTGGCTTAGTAGTTAAGTTAGAATAATATTGAAATGTTTTTGCATCTGACATTCTCCACAAACCTGTCTCCTTTTATGTGTATGCATGTCAGTATATAAATTGCTGAATCCATGTCAGTTGTAAAGTAATGGCACTGAGGGCATCATAAATTACCACGGTGATCCTCAGGAGAAGACACTGTCGTGTCTGAATGAGTATTTCACTTCCAGAGTAATGGATGCCTTCATCTGGCCCAGCAGTCAGCATATTGCCCCGTGTTGATGGATATTGTCAGCTGGAAGCTACACTACATTTCACTGCACAATAAACATGGCTGTCAAACCCATATAAAGTGAAATCAATTTATCCTGTATGGTCAGTGCATTTTAAATGAAATTAATGTACTGTGGGTATGGTGGCAAAAAGGTAGCATATTAGTTATGTATCTTGGGATCTGAGACTTTTCATGTAAGGGATCATTCTGTCTAGTAGGCCTAAAAGAAAGGCTGTTTATAAAATATGTTATTTTTGCATGATCTTCAGAAAATAGCCTCTCTGCCCTCCTTCCTGTTTAGAACAAAATTCACAATATTTGCCAATTCCACCCTTTTGTACTGTCTTTTGTTTGCAGTAAATGATGACTATATTTGCCAAATAATAGTGCACTATAATGTTCTAATTTATTACTGGTTTTGACACCAACAAATTTCCACTTAACCAAGGTATGTAGAAATAGAGTGGAAGGGCCAGAGATTGATTGGGTCATGTTGTTCCTGTATAATAACTTCACTGAGCTGAAAGGATTTACTTTTTCCAGAAAATAGAAATGTTAGTTTTAATGTATATTTTGCTTCTAAACTTTTGGGGGTGGGCTTTCCTGTTTATGAAGTCAAAGCCTTTGCTGAGCCCATCAGTCCAACCACTTCCCATTTAATTATGGAAGCTCTCAGTCTGTGGGAGATATTCATCCATTGCCCCATCACAAAGCACACATCAGTGTGTTGCCCTGGCAGCATGCAAGAAAACAAACAAGAGCTGTAGTTATTAATTGTCATTCATAATTTAATGTATTTTACTAATTGAAATTCTATGTACCAGTTACTTTACTGAATCTTAGGAATACAGCAGAGAACGAGACCTGGCCTCTACCCTGTCTTCAGGGAGCTTTCAGTCTATTGTGTTACAAGAGTCAGCTCTTTGGAAATTATATAACATCAGGAATTTGAACATAGTTTCACAGGTGTTAAAGAACTACTCTTAAACAACAGAAAGATAGACTGGGCGCGGTGGCTCAAGCCTGTAATTACAGCACTTTGGGAGGTTGAGGTGAGAGGATTGCCTGAGCTCAGGAGTTCGAAACCAGCCTGGGCAACTTGGTGAGAACTTGTCTCTATAGTAAATAAAAAAGTTAGCCAGGTGTGGTAGCACGTGCATATAGTTCCAGCTACTTGGAAGGCTGAGGTGAAAGGATCACCTGAGCCTAGCAGGTAGAGGCTACGGTGACCGTGAACATGAGACTGTCCTCCAGTCTGGGCGACAGAGTGAGACGCCAACTCCAAAAAATAAAAATAAAGAATAGCGGAAAAATAGATCAGGTCCCTTGAAATGAACAGCTCTTAGTCTACTTCTTTTGCATACGAGTTGAAAAACAAATCATCTTTACTTAATGAATATTTATCTCATATCGATTATGTGGGAATTCCTGAGGATACAAGAATGAGTACAACACAACCACTAACTTTAAGGATCTCATATTCCTGGGGATGGAGTGGAACGTTCAAAAGGAGATAGGCACATAAGCAGTGGTTACCTTGGGGGCATGTAGCCTGAAACTAAGAGGAGCGAGTGCAGCCTGGAGAACACCATTGTGCGTGCTGTTTCTTTAGCATGCATGATGTACCTTCTCATTTATCTTTACCCCGCTTCCACTCACCTGCCAATTTCTTACTTATCCTCCAAGTCTCTGTGCAGACATCACATCTCCTAGGAAGCATTACCAGACCATCCAGGGTGGTGGGCTCTGGGCGCCCTGTGAACTTCAATACTGCAACACTTACCATCCCGTTCATTTTAATTGTCTTGCCTCTCTGAACTGTGAACTTTTTAAAAGCAGGAACTGTTTTATTCACCTGTATTTCCCTAGCACCTGGCATAAGGCCCAGGTCATAATAATTGCTCAATTAATATTGTTTGTTGACTCAATACATTTGGCCATGAAATGTAGGAACATAGACCTTGAAGAATGAGTGGGATTTAGCATGAAGGAGTTGGAGAAGAGATTTCCAGGCAATGAGAAGCACACAGGTAAAGACAATATTATGAAAGAGAATTCTACTTGGGGAAAACATATCATTTGAAGTGGCAGTAATTTTTGACAAATGAGTGTGAAATGCCTGCTTTGGAAGGAAGGAATCACAGCAGGAAAGTTTGCCAGAAAATGCCAGCCACTGCTTTATCACCATCTACCACTGATTGTAGGAAATGTAATAAGTGTCTAAAAACATACACAATTAATTCTGCTTAATGTGTCAGAAGGGCCTGTAGGGTTGTCATTTGAAACTGTCTTCTGCTTCCAAGAGGTCACTTAGAAGAGCAGGGCCTGGGAAGAACAGCTGAACCAGGCGGCTAGCTGTGGTACGCGGTCCCCATAATAATGCTTTCCACTCATCTTGTTCCTCCTGCCCCGACATTACAGGAAGTAAAGCCATGAATGGCTCAGCAGCTAAACTACAGCAGTATTATTGTTGGCCAACAGGAGGTGCCACTGTGGCTGAAGCACGAGTCTACAGGGATGCCCGCGGCCGTGCCAGCAGCGAGCCACACATCAAGCGACCAATGAATGCATTCATGGTTTGGGCGAAGGATGAGAGGAGGAAAATCCTTCAGGCCTTCCCTGACATGCACAACTCCAACATTAGCAAAATCTTAGGTGAGTGCAGCTGCGTACCGGAGGAAGCTGATCTCCTGCCTGTGAGTGCCTCCAGCCAGAATGGGGGCAGGGGCCTAACCCAGCTCCTTGGGGAGAAGGTGGTGGCAGAAGTCAGGTGAAAGCCAACCAGCTATGCCAGACCCTTTGTCATCTCTGCCTCCCCTGCCCTGCAACACGGCATTTAGGTATAGGAGTTATAATCACCAGGTGCCAGGGCAGGACTGGATAAAAACTTATTTAAGAACCAAAGCTGTTTATAGTATGTGTTAGTACTGTGAATTTAGCAACCCTTGAGAAGTCACTGCTAAACAAGAATCATGGAGGCAAGCTGTATCTCTTTTTAGTATCCAATCTTCTTACAATAATATGTTTCTACACTCGTAGACCCTTCCATTTTCTGCTTTAGCATTCTTGGGTTCACATGTCCCACTGAAAGAATTCATCAAGGACTAGAAATGAACCCTCAAATGGTGTGCAATTCGTGGAGTGCAGAACAATGTCTCTAATGATAATTCTGAAACTTGCAAAATAAATCTGCCTTTACTTTAATAAGACATGACTTGTTCGGATTTCATAGCTGTGAGTTGAACACATAGACCACAGGGCAGAGGCCCATTTTGTGGTAAATTGCCAGAGCGATTCTCCTGTTTCTCAGGATTAAACTCAAGCCTTGTTCTATTCGTGTAAAGCCTGCCTAGTGTAGCTTACACAGTTTGGAATTATTGTGCGCAACATATTGAACATATTTTATTCAACATGCAGCATTACAGTCAACATGTTTCCTCTTTAAAAAGAAAAAACACAGAAGGCACTGTTCATTTAAGCTGTCATGATGTGACAAAATCTCAAAGGAAGCTGTTTAAGAAGCTGAAAAACATTAGAGACTTAAGCTGTGGTTTTAATTTTTTAAATGTTTTGTTCAAAAGCAATAAATATTTAACCTGAGTAAATATCAGTGATCTGGACATACACAAATACACATGTTTTGTCACAGTATAAATAATTTAACTTGATTCCGAGACATTTTGAGGCAATGACCTCTAAGAAAATTTAAAACATACATAAGATCAAATAGTGGTAAAATGTTAAAATGAAATTTTTTTCTTTTTTCTTTTCCTTTTGACTTTTGAGTTTCAAGATGGATACTAAATGTCATTACAGTTTAAGTGTGATTTTATTTTTAGAGCTTCAGAAATCTGCATAGGGATGTTATTCTTTTGAATTGAAATACTTTTCAAACCAAAATGTTCCTAATGGACATTCACTTTTGTCTAATTAAAAAGCATTGCAAAAAAATTAGTGTTTCTCTGGCATTAGATGCTTTGTATCCAACTTTGAGATTTTTACTTTTTTCTGCCATTTTAGTAGCAATGTGAGTAAGCTTTTAGATGGTTACAGAACCTCTCTGTTTCCATTTTGGCAGCTTTGGGGAGTCTATATTATTGGTGTGCATTCTGTGAAGAAAATTATTAAGAATATAGTAAGTATATTCATAAAACGTAAACCTTTAAGCTCAAGCATTTCAAGAGTACCAAGAATTCTGTGAACTGGGGCTTTGCACTGCTGGGAAGCCTATGTGCAGAGACTTTCTACACAACTTGTGCACAACTATCAGGAAAGAACGGGGATGGATGTGCTATTAAAGCAGACCAGGATATTGCTGGCTACAGAGAATATTTGTACAACTTTTCCATTTGTTTATGTATGAAAAATCTCCACTGAAGAATAGCTAACATCCAGTCTGCACAGCTGTTACCGCTTTATTCACCAGCGAGACACAAAAATGCAATTTGATACATGTAAAAAAGCACATCCCTTCTTCGTCAAGTGTTTAGATAATTCTTTATAAACAATATTAGAGAAGTGAATACTTCTCCTTCTTCCTGTGTAAACCGTATTAAAAATTTTTGTACTTTTATTGGTACAGCTTTAAATGAGCGTTTACAGTACTTGAAAATAGTATATGTAATTCCAACTGTACCTTCCGGTTCTAAAGTTATAACTTCTTAAGTAGAGCTTAGGTTTAGGTTTTTTAATTATGCTAGGCCAGGGGAGACAGTGTGCATGGTAGGTTTTTATACAAGGAAGGATTTCAACATGTGCTGACAACTTATCAAAGGATGACTTTGCTAAAGATACTTGGAGTGTGGGAGATGTTTGAATTTCTGGAACTAAGAAACCTGAGAATCCTGTCATACTCAAAAGAATGCCTAGGAAGCTTAGGCTTTTAGCCTTCTTGAGATAGACAGGTGGATGAGGAAAGACCTTGGTGTGAGAGATGATCTTTAAGCAGCAAAGATATGTATATTTATATTGAGTTGGGGGTCTCACTCTGTCACTCAGGCTGGAGTGCAGTGGCACGGTCTCAGCTCACTACAGCCTAGACCTCCTGGGTTCAGGCAATCCTGTGTGCAGTGATTTTTATTTTTATTTTTTTGTAGAGACAAGGTCTTGCTATGTTGCCTACGCTGGACTCCAACTTAATGTGCTCAAGCAATTCTCTCACCTCAGCCTCCCAAGGTGCTGTGATTATAGGTGTGAGCCACTGTGCCCAGCCAGCAAAGACATATTTTCAAACAATATAGTAGCATTAGTCTTAAAATATTGAGAGAACGAATAGTCAAAAAAGTATCATTATACAAATTGTTCTTTATCCTGTAGTCTAAATAGCTAGTTGGAAGGATCAGTGGTATATGGTACCTGGAGCTACCCAGAGCCCAGGTGATACCTGGAGCTACCCAGAGCCCAGGTGAGTGAAGAGGTGGGAGGGAATATTGGTTGTTTTTGCCTGGAATATGCTGCCGTGACCACTTGGGTGCTTAAGGCTATTTCCGTGTCTAGGATCTCGCTGGAAATCCATGTCCAACCAGGAGAAGCAACCCTATTACGAAGAGCAGGCCCGGCTAAGCAAGATCCACTTAGAGAAGTACCCAAACTACAAATACAAGCCCCGACCGAAACGCACCTGCATTGTTGATGGCAAAAAGCTCCGGATTGGGGAGTATAAGCAACTGATGAGGTCTCGGAGACAGGAGATGAGGCAGTTCTTTACCGTGGGGTAAGCATTCCTGAACTCAGCCACCTGGGCTTTCTTTCCCAGTGAGAAACCTCAGGATGACTCCTGGCGGTGTGTTTGGGAAGGGGATTAAGGGAGGAGAAGTTGTGACATTGAAGGGGCTTGACATATTGAAGGGCACAGCCTTGCAACGTGGCTCCAGCTCATATCAGGCCAAAATTGCCATAGTTCACTCCCGCTGGTCACCCCTGTCGCTGTCTCCCAAGCCAATTTAAGATGCTCAGTGCCCACACACATAGTTTCTGGTAGTTTATTTAAGCAGACACACAGGAAGAAAAAAAAAACTAACCTTAAGAAATCCCCAGAAGCTTTCCAGCTTCTCTGGGTGGTGCTTCTGACTGTAATCACAATAGTCTGCTTTTGTTGTGGGATCTACCACAAGATAATTGGCCTTGACATTGGTTAGAGGACCTCATTTTTGGCATAAGATCCAGAACTCCTGTTGCAGTAAATTATTCTGTGGTAGAAGCAGTAACAATGTGGATTTTCTTGCTTAAATCAGAAACTAGACATGTTTTTGATATCTTCAAGTCTGATTTCATGTCATTTTGTTTAAAAATTAGGTAATAGATTTCTGGTATAAATTTCGACTTGGCTGACTGGCTGTCTGCATTCAAAAGAGGCCCCTCCTAACCACAGTAGTCAGGATAAGTGGGGGTGCAGATGCCTGTAGCTTCCAGCACACGCAAGCCTAGGAGCACAGGGGGGTGGCAGAGCAGAGGGCCATTCTGGAGGCATCGGCCTGAAGCAGCTGGAATCAGAGGAGGGAGACCTTGGGAAAGGGCTTGAGAGAGAAGTGGAATAAGCAAAGGAAACCTCATTCACAGTTAACCTGAAGGAGAACTGAGGAGCTGTGCTGTCCCAGGGCAGTGAGGGCATCATGTAAAGGTGGAAAAGATACCTAAAGGAGAAGGACAATGCTGTTTAGTTTAAAGGATACCCAAAGTAACCCCAAGGAACAAAAGGTTGGTTTCAGAAGCACGTTTTAAAAAGAATAGTAAATCAAGGCTGGGCGTGGTGGCTCATGTCCGTAATCCCAACACTTTGGGAGGTGGAGGCGAGAGGATTGCCTGAGTCCAGGGGTTCGAAACCAACCTGGGCAACTTGGCGAGACCTCATCTTTGCAATAAAAAACATATTAGCTGGGTGTGGTGGCACATGCCTGTAGTTCCAACTAGTTGCAAGGCTGAGGCAGAAGGATCGCCCGAGCCCAGTGGGTCAAGATTGCAGTGGCCGTGAGTGTACTACTGCACTCCAGCCTGGATGACAGAGTGAGACTCTGACTCAAAAAAAAAAAAAAAAGAGTACTAAATAAATACAGAAAACACAAAGTCAGTGAAAGTAGTCTGGGTCATAAACCCGTGCAGTACATGAGAGCATCTGGGTCATGAGAGCACGACTTTGGAGTTTGACCGCTGAGGTTCACATACTGACTGTGCCACCTACTTGGGCAAGTTCCTTAACGTCTCTAACCTGTTCTCTCACCTGTGAAATGAAACAAATAATAGTACCTGTCTTGTAGGATTGTTGAGAGGATTCAATGAGGCAATGCTTTTAAAAGAACTTTATATATTCTCAGTACGATATCACTAAAGGTGAACTCTAGCATTATCATTACTATTTAATACGTATTTACAATCACAGCAAAACCATATTTTATATCACACTTGATAATCGATGAACTTCTTTATACTGTGGCAGAACCTTTTAGAGGTAAAGGAGGCATAAGCCACTTTATTATTCAAGATCCCAATACATTAATAAGTGAAGACATGTTAAAATAGGATTATCAAATTCCTCTGCATTATAAATGTTTGCATTTTTTAAGTAATGCTTTTAAAACCAAAAAGAACAATGCAATATATTTGGACTATTCACATGATAATTAAAGGATGTATAAAAAATGCCAATTATAGTTTGCTTTAGGTAGTATGGTCGTAGACAGCAAAATACAAATTTAGACTCTATGATAAATGTCCTCTTTTAATCCTGTTCGTGTGTCTTGAAGATTATGTATCATCTCTTTTGAATAGAGAATCAGAAGTTCAAGTCTGATATCTTTTGTGATTCCTCCCCTTCTCCCCAGTCATGTTCCCTGTGTATTTAGTGATATATAGTGGGCTTCATAGTCAGGAAGGTTATGAAAGGTATTGTGTTTAGTTCCCTAACACTTATTTGAAGATACGAGTTGCAGTAATACTATTTAATTTAGTTCCCTTTACCAAAGTATACATTAAAACAGCTCTGGATTAAAATACCTCAACATCTATCAATGCATGCAAAATTAAAAATCTAAAACAACTTAATAACTTTATCATTTACTATCTAGTGTGTACTAGGTATTTTAGATATATAAATCACATCACTCTCTAAATAAGATAAAGAAACTTGAGGTTTAGAGAGGTCCTATGTCTGCTGAAAGGTGAGAAAGAACAAGAGTTCGAATCTAGGTCTCAGCCACATCATGCCAAGCAACTGTCCTTAGCACCTTGCTCAAAATATACCTCATAAACCCTATTCCAGCACAGTCACAACAATGGCTATGCCGTTTGAGCAAGAACTCTTAGAACTTGGAGAAAATGAAGTCTTTGGTTGTGGTATATGGTGCATAAAAGGAGATTTGAGGCTTAGAGATGAACGATCCTCTTCCTGAGAGTGGCAGAAAGTCCTTTCTGGAAGGATCATCTCAGACTATGGAATAGGGCTACTGAAATGTGGGCAGTGACTAGATTTTCTTTAATCTTCAATGCTGAGATTCTTCTGCCCGGCTTTAGTAATACCTACTACACAAAGCTAGGTATTATTTCTACTTAAAGATTGGTATTCTTTTTAAAGTAGTTACAGTTGATAGATTATTAACTCCCTGGGGATCGCCTTTGGAAATTGATCATTATTAGATGTAAGGCTATTACAAGAGAAGGGAGAAAAACAGGCAAAAATTCAAAGATTGCTATTGACTTCTTGATGGAATGGGTGAGATCAATTTTTATGGCTGATTTTGAAAAGACGTGCACAACTTTCAAGCCAATAAAGCTGCATATATTGCTCAACATTTTCATGCATTTTACTGACTACACGACTGTAGCTGATGAGTTAGATTTTTTTTTAACTTAGCTATTATGAAGTGAATTTATCAATAATATGGAGTGGAGTAAGGTTGGCTCTTGCTTTGGATTTAACCCCTTCATATCACAGAATAAATATCAGAATTTTGTAATAATTCTGATAAGAGCATTATTCATGTAGAAACGATATTCATTAGTGTACATACAGCTACAATAGTTTTTCCCAGAGCCAAATGTATTTGCACTTATTTGAAACTTATTTGGTAATTTACCCGTGAACTAATGAAGAACTATGTAGGTACATTCGACCCTACATATCTGTGGCTACTGCATCTGTGGCTTCAAGCAACCACAGATGACAATAAAAAACAAAACAAAACAAAAGTGAGTTTGCTACTAATGTGTACTATGTTGTTAGGCCTAGGGTGGTTGCATCTGTACTAAACACGTATAGACGTTTTTCTTGTACATCTTTTATTTCCAAAACAATACAGTATAACAATTGTTTATATAGTATTTATATTATACTAGGTTGTTATAATCTAGAGATTATTTAAGTATATGGGAGGATGTATGTAGGTTATATGGAAATATTACATCATTTTATACAAGGGACTTGAGATCATTGGATTTTTGTATCTAGGGGGTCCTGGAACCAATCCCCAATGGATACTGAGGGGCGATTACTATAAAATATTAAATTTGGGGCTACTTTTTAAGCAATGCAAATGATAAATTATTGAATATTTACTGTATGCAATACTGTGCTGAGCGAATTATATAGATTTTTGCAAATACAACAAATTTACAAGAGAGTCAATATCATTCCCACTATAAGGTTGAAAACTGTAGTGTTCAGAGATGTTAAATAATTTGTCCAAGGCCACACAGCTAGTAAATGGCAGAGCTGAGATTTAAACCAGGCATATGCTAATGTGAAACATATGTCTTTTTTTACCATTACACATACCTCTCAATTAGAGCCTACAAATTGTTTAGAGGCTATATAGCATAGTAGTTGAGAGCACCAATTGTGAAGCCAGACTATTCGGCTTAAATACCAGATCTGCACCTTCTCAGATGTAAGAACTAATGCATAGTAATCCTTATTCCTCTTCCTTTGCCCTTGGGAAACTTATTTAAACTTTGTTTCCTCATATGTGGAATTAGAATGTTAATAATACTGACAACATATTCAGGAAAGATCGAATAACTTAATATATGTAAAATGCTTACTTAGAGCAGTGTCTAGCATATGGTAAACTCTAAATTAGAGTTAATATTGTTATTCTAGAAAAAGAATATCATGTGCCAAGTATGTTTTTATATTGTATTAAATAATTGTTTTCTAGTACCTTATGCTATAAGTGATTTGAATATTTGCCATTTTGATTTTAATCATAAAAAGGTTGAACCAAGTCTACAAGATACTTGTAAATATAATTAAATTAGCATAAGCTAGTCATACAGTTTTCAATATTATCCTTTAAAAAAGCTGGATTAGAAACTCTAGTAGGTAAAGTATAAAAAGATTACTCTTATTTCCAGGCTTCCTTCAGTATAAACTACAGAAATTTGTAATGTTCAGGCTTATCTCCTACTGAAACAAACTTCATCATCTTCATTTATAGATTTCATAAGGATCTGAAGGTCAGCAAACAATGGGGCTTTGCCAACATTAATATGTAGTCACTTTGCAATTGACAAAGCTCAACTACACTCCAGAAATATTATTGTAATTTGGAAACCTTGCAACAGTGCTGGCCTCCATCAGGGCCAACTTATACTTTTACTTGGACTGGGTGGGAGGCTTCTTAGCCATCTCTGTTCGTATCAACTGCGTGCATAAACTTTTACAAACATCTACAAATTTGTTTTGATGTGCACATCTATTATTTGTGAAACCCAATACCTGCC